GCTTGAACTCACCTTAAATATTGTGAAATACTTTGATGCCCAGACCATGTGCCGTGCTGCGCAAGTTTCTAAGAAATGGAGGCACATTATCAATTCCGATGAAAAGAGTTGGAAGGAACTTTTCGATAGAGAGGGATATGTTCTCCCAGAAGGAGAGCTGGAGCGTGCGATCAGGGAAGGGTGGGGTTGGCAGTTTCCGAACGGGGTCGAAGATTACGAGAAGGACCTAAGTGTGTCATCTCCTGTAATCAAACCTGATCCCGAGTCCGGTTCTCCTTCTATGCAACCGCTACCAGGACCTAGTGATAGGCCTTCGTCTGCGCATCGCCGCCCGAAGAGAAAAGCATGCACACGTGTCTCAAGCCGTAAGCTTGCAAAACGAAAAATATCATCCAGCGGGACCGATAATTCCGAATCCTCTGATTGGAGAAAGTCAGTCACTGCGGCAGAAGGGCCCTATGCTGCCGCGAACGCTGCAGCTGCAGCTGTTCCATATCCAGATATTGGCTTACCGTCCCTGCGAGGGCTGCATCTTTACAAATCTCTCTATCAGCGACATCACTCGATTCATAATGGTTGGATGAGGCCCAATGTGAAGCCACGCCACATCGCTTTTCGCGCTCATGACCGTCATGTTGTCACTTGTCTTCAGTTTGATGCGGATAAGGTTTTGACTGGTAGTGACGATACCAACATCAATGTTTACGACACTAGGACTGGGGCTCTGAGGGCGACGCTTGAGGGACATGAGGGTGGTGTTTGGGCTCTCGAGTACTACGGTAATACTCTGGTTTCTGGCTCGACCGATAGATCAGTGAGAGTCTGGGATATTGAAAGGGCGAGGTGCACTCAGATTTTTCACGGTCATACGTCCACAGTACGATGTTTACAAATTGTTCTACCGGTAGAAGTAGGGAAAAGGGCTGACGGCACCCCTGAGATGATGCCAAAGGAGCCCTTGATCATCACTGGCTCACGAGACTCAAACCTTAGAATTTGGAAGCTTCCCAAACCGGGTGATCCTGTCTACTACCAAACCGGACCACATGTCGACGATACTGACTGCCCTTACTTTGTCCGCGCTCTTACAGGGCATCAGCACTCCGTTCGTACGATCGCTGCGCACGGTGATACCCTAGTTAGCGGAAGTTATGACTGCACGGTGAGAGTCTGGAAGATTTCCACCGGAGAAGCTCTTCACCGACTCCAAGGCCATTCCTTGAAAGTATACAGCGTGGTGCTAGACCACAAAAGAAACCGCTGTATTAGTGGCTCCATGGATAACATGGTGAAAGTGTGGTCCCTCGAAACCGGATCTATCTTGTACAACCTTGAAGGCCACTCTTCCCTGGTTGGGCTGCTTGACCTGAAGTGTGATCGACTGGTCTCAGCAGCCGCAGATTCGACTCTGAGAATTTGGGATCCAGAAACTGGTCAATGTAAAAATATGCTGAGCGCTCATACAGGTGCGATCACATGTTTTCAGCATGATGGCCAGAAGGTTATCTCAGGATCTGATAGGACATTAAAAATGTGGGATGTACGGACTGGAGAGTGCGTGCGAGATCTTCTCACCGACCTTAGCGGGGTATGGCAGGTCAAATTCAATGACCGGAAATGTGTGGCTGCGGTGCAGCGTGATAGTTTGACTTATATCGAGGTAGGTTCAGTTGATTAGATTTTTGCTTTCCCCTTTGCTGACTTGATTCTCGTCCAGGTTCTCGACTTTGGTGCTTCTCGCGACGGGGTACCAGAAGATCAGCTTGGCAGACGTATAGTTGTTGACCGCTGGGGCCAGGAAGTCAGCGATGTCGACGAAGACTATGATCTGTCTGATGCCTGATACTATCGCAGCAGCCGGAGTTCGCTCTCGTTTCACCGCTTGGTAGGGCCCTGTATACCACGCATGGCCCTGCGTTGATTAATATCATCACCAACGGTGTTTTCTTTCTTTTCTGGAATTTGAGGCATGAAACATTAATGATACCCAATATCAAGGAGTTGTTCTCTTCATTACACTTTGCATAGCGCGGTTGGCATACTTTTGATATGCTGTTATGATGAACAGGCGTTTTGGTATCCAAAATGATTATTTATCCGACTCTTACTACATTATCTCTTACTATGACCTCCTCCCCTTTACGCATGTTTCGTGCCACTGCTATATTTCACTCTAAATTTGATTACCAAAGACAAGCGCATCAGCTTTTCCGAAGCTGTTAGCAGATTTTCCTGTATGCCCTGACAATCGGTTCTTATAGAATACATACTGTTGACAATTTTCTCTTATCGCGTCCCATTAGCAACGAAATGAGAGCAATGTTTCGGTGATATTATTAAATAGCTCTAAATGCTAGCAGTCTGGATCTCAAGTCTACATCTACCTCGTCAATTGAAACAGTGCAATCATTAACGATGAATAAGCATAGGTATATATGCTTGGATCTCTAGGTTCCGAAGAACCAAACCTTCACCGTCATGAGATTCGACCCATCTCATGTTCCCCAGGACAAATGGTTATTCAACAACCATGCCAGCTCAATAGTGCCACCTAGGCTGAAAATGCAGGCATATTCTATATTCGATGGTGGCTTCATAAGACACATAACTTCGGTGAGAAAGTTTAGCTGGGAGGAATCCGCCGTAAATTGCGATGTTGACGGACGGGAGCCTACAACCCCCAAAGCTGTTACTAAGGAGTAAGCACTGCTTGCAAGGTTTAGCAAATGCCCCGCTGTTTGATTCACCTGTAATTAGATATTACACCCAAGTCAGCTCCGCAGTTTAACTGACTCCTCTTCCAGAACAGTGGTGCTCTTGAATCACATTTCAAGATGCGGCGGTAGAGATGTTAGCAACTTGCGACCCGGTGGGTACGGGTTGCGCTTTCAGATTCCCATCAAATCCAGCAGCCGACAAGATAGCCCAGCGGATTGCGCTAATTCCTAACGACTTGCCGTGGCCGATGGGCGTCTCTGCACTGCATGTCAGGATCTCACCTAGGGCACCAGGCCCTTCCAACCGACCATCGGGTTGAAGTATTGGTCTGTAACTTTGCAACAAGTTCTGTAATGTAGCGACTTTTGCCGCTGATGCTCCGCTCTTGACCTGGCTCTTCTTCTTGGCCAAAATTTTATCCACTTTTGACATGATGACCTGGTGCGGAATGGCATATTTCCGGAAAAGCATGAGGATGTCCTCGTCTGTCTTCTTAAGACCATGTAAGCTATCTATAAGGAGGAAAACCCGTCGGAGTCTGGGATCGTGGGTTTGCGGGTCAGCTTGACTGGATCGAATATCCCCGAATACAACCGGGGATGCACTTACTGCCTCCGTCCCTGAAGATACTTCATAATCTCAACACCCCATTCCGTCCTACTCGCCTTTCCATACCCCGGCATATCAAGCAGAACGATTTTCGACTCTCCGCCTTTCGTACCTCCGATACCGAACGCATTCATCTCTCTCGTTCTCCCTGGTTTTGAAGACGTCCAACATATCTCTTTGCCCATGATTGCGTTCAATAACGAGCTCTTTCCGACATTCGAGCGACCAAGGAAGGCAACTTCAGGCTCTACTGATGACATAGGAGTGGTACGGAATTTGCTAGCGGACCATATTTTGATCGGGGAGTGGCGAGAGGGTGCGAAGAATTTGTCGGCGTAGGTTAAATCAGTTTCATTTGGTACTCGAGTATCCCAGTAGTAGGAGATATTTGCAGGAGTTAAGTCATGGAGCGAAACTTTGTTCGGGTTCGACGGAGGATTCGGGGTGATGGCGGTTGAAAGTGCTCGTCGGAGAGGGAATGGAAGTCGTGGACGCGAGCAAGCTGTACATTTGTATACTGTGTGCTTCATGGTGAATTCACCAATCCTGGTACTATGTGAGAGCGATACGTGGAGTGTCAAGATATAGATCAGTAAAGAAACAGCGTCATGTTTGCGCTCCGAGAGCTTCTCCAGATAAAATCCAAGATAAGAAAGTCTTCCGAGCACTGGGGAGTTCTCGGAAAGGTATTTCTGCCGACATGCCGACATGCCGCCCCGCGGATTCAGGCCGATAAGAGAGCTTACAATACGAAGCAGCTGCAACTGATATCACAACTTCATTTTCGCCGGCAGTTTCGGGTTTCGGTATCCTATTATCCCTCTGCATATTTGAATACAGAAACACTATCTCATAGAACGTCAAAATGATCAACGCGGTTCTCGTCTTCAATAATAATGGACAGCCGCGACTGAGCAAGTTCTACACCCAGATTGTAAGTCGGTTAATCATCCACGCCTTTTACTAGGCAAACTAGCTAATAAAAGATGACTTTGGACATAGGATACGCAAACGAAGCAATCGCTTATACAAGAGACATATGCTCTAGTCGCTCAGCGCCCACCAAGCGCTTGCAACTTCCTGCCTCTGCCTTCATTGCTCTCTCGGGGTGCTAGCTCCGGCGCAGAGGGCCCATCCGATGCCCCGACACAGGTGACCTACCGGACATATGCGACTCTTTCTTTCATTATGATCTCAACATCTACTGAGTCCCCGCTTGCACTTATTGATCTGATTCAAGTCTTTGTCGAAGCGCTGGACCGTATATTCGAGAATGTGTGCGAGCTGGATCTCATTTTCGGTTATGAAACGATGCATGCGGTGCTGAGTGAGATGATTGTCGGTGGCGTTGTCGTCGAAACGAATATTGATAAGATTGTTGCTGGTGTGCGGAGTCAAGAGGGCTCTCTAGGGAAGAAGAAGGCTATCCAGGCGGCAAGTTCTAGCGTAGGGCGCGGTGGGTTCCCTGGTATAGGCGCTTGGCGGTGATTTGCTATGATATATATATATATATCTTTTCTCTTTCTACATTACAATATGCATTTTTGGTTTGTTTACTGGGATGTTATGGATTGGAGTTTAGGCGAAACGTTGATGTGATGGTATGTTCCTGACACTTGCTATTATGACAGACGAGAATTTGACTAACAAGGGAAATAGTAGCACCGTGTCAGCTAGAGAGGCTGGAATCCATACGCTGTCCAGTTATCAAGCACCTTTCGCTTAACATCCTCCGGGTAGGCACCCTGGAAAGACCCTTCTTTCCATGGCAGCGTTTTTTCTGTAAATTCACTGGGCAGCATACAGCATTTGACAACTTTCCCATTCTTTCCGGACTTGGATGGCAAGCCGTGTGTGACATAGGGTATGAGGGGGATGTTAGAATATTCGGTGAAAATGAACTCATGCCTGCCAGGTTCACAACGTGTTGCTTCAGCCCAGATGACATCTGGGAGATTGGTTGGATCAATGTAGTCATTTACCAAGAAGATCTTCGGGATAAACCATCCTGGCTTGGAACCGAATACGACATGCCCTAATTTGCGGCAGAATTCCTCCATATTCGTGCGCATTTCCACTAATTTCGAGTGATTCACCTGAAGAACAAACCACAAGCAATGTGATTCAAACGGACACCAAACCATATTGATTGGGAGGCCGGCCTTCTGACAAATGTTGAGGACCTCCGCAGCCTGCATTGTACACCAGATGGTGGAATTTTCGTCTGGAGCTCGGCCTGCGACGCATATTGGAAGAATCGGATCGTGACGGTATGTAATGGTGTTGACCTTGAAAATAGGGCACTGAGTTTTGTGTCCGGGGAAAACCATGCCATTATATTCGACCATGGGGCCTTCTGGAGCAGTTTCACTAATCGAAACCACGCCTTCAAGGACAATCTCTGCATTGGCCGGCACCCAGAGATCGTTTGTTTCACACTTAACAATGTCAACTGGAGCGTCGGTCAAGGCACCGATGAATTCCGGCTCGTTGGTCCACTTGGGAATGGGCATGCCGCCAACCATGATAGCTGCAGGTGGCACTCCGAAACATAAAGCCCATGGCATGTCTTCGCCTTTCTCCTTCCAAAGATTCCATATTGTCCCAATGTCCTGTCTAGGTATCACCAGTCCAACCAGCTCACGCTTGCCGTGAACCATGCCCCTACTGATGGACCAATTAGTCCATTTTCCATCAGGGCTCTGGACCACATGCATGCCCATTGTTTCGATGAATTTGCCTCCATCATGCTCATGCAAGAGTGGGACAGGCAACTGTGTCAGATCTATATCGTCACCATGAATAATATGGTCTTTGACGGGGCCCGACTCGAGTTTCCGACATGGGATTGGAGGCTTTGACTTGGCCTCATTGATCTTCTGGACGATCTTGTGGCCAGTAGCAGATGATGGAAGCCCAAGCGACTTATCCAACCGACAAAGCTGCATTCCAGGACGCTTACTGTACCCTATGGAGGCCCCGAGGACGCGAAACAATCCGTCGTCCTTACGCCCTTTAGGGTTTGTGAACAACGGGGCTCGCTCTCCAGTTTCACACACTTTTCGCACGATGGCTGCGAGCTCCAGGTTGGGGTCGACTTCTTTGGTGATTGTCAAGAGCTCCCCTTCATCTTCCAGCTCCTGAATGAAACGGCGGAAGTCTTTCGCGGCAGCAGTGTGGTCCATTTTGCTTGGAAACCGTAGATACGGAATCAACGATAAGACTATATAACAAATTTAGACAAGGACCGATCTCTGTATTCATAACAAGCTGAAAGCATCTAAACTTTACATAGTAATTCCATTCTACTTAAATAATAATACCCCTTGTCTCGTGAGCTATGACATACATGACACTATACTTCCTGCATAACTCAACGTCAACGTGCAGTCGGAACAATCAACCGAATTACCCCAAATTGGAGATCCTGAGACGACCCCGTCCACCCCAATTTTGCTATTGATCGGCCCCGCAGCCGAGCAGCTGATGCATAATAGCTATGGTATAGCTGTATAATCTGCTGCAAGAATATTAACTGTCGTCATTTGGCGTGGGCTTGACCACGCCCTTTCTCCAATTCTTGTTCTCGCCTGGATAGGCTCTGGATATCACGGCAACAATATGGGTAAATAATTATCAAAATGTTGAGCAGATTTCCCAATGCTTAACCTGGAACCCACAAGAAAGATAGCTATAGGCTAGTTCTGTTCGCCTGTCCTAGAGTATACCCGCATAGGTATAGAGTATAAGGCCGACCCTGCAGGCCATCCCAGACCCCAACCTCAGAAAACTAAAGTGCAGTACAAGATGGGCTGGATTGGCAGTGTCATCATCGTCCTTGTAGGGGGCCTTCTCTACTTAACAAATCGTTTCCCTAATCTACGCATATCTCACTTCTCCCGTAAATGGGACACAAAAGCACCAGCCATGGCAATGACAGAAACAAACCCACAATCCACACGTCTTCAAACCCAACCAAGCCAGCCAACCAGGCCAATACGAATCATCGTCGCAATGACAGGAGCAACGGGGGCGATTCTGGGCATTCGCCTCCTTGAGCGCCTACGAGAAATGAACGTCGAAACGCACCTAGTCATCAGCCGCTGGGCGGTCGAGACAATCAAATACGAAACCAAGTATACAGCGAACGACGTGCGCGCACTTGCTACGCGATGCTACCCAGTGAATGACGCCGCCGCAGCTATATCGAGTGGCTCGTTTCAGGCAGACGGGATGATCATCGTGCCGTGCAGTATGAGGACGTTGAGCGCCGTGCGGACAGGATTCGCCGATGACTTGATCTGCAGAGCGGCCGATGTAACGCTGAAGGAGAGGAGGAAGCTTGTATTGGTTGTGAGGGAGACGCCGCTCAGTGGCATCCATTTGGAAAATATGTTGGACCTAACCCGTTATGGAGCGGTGATCTTTCCGCCCATGCCTGCGTTCTATACGATGCCTGAGAGCGTGGATGATATTGTTACGCAGAGTGTGGGGAGGATGTTGGATATGTTTGGTTTGGATGCTGGGAATTTTGAAAGATGGGATGGGTTTTGATCACAATTCGTTTGTTGCTTGGTGTTTCTATAAGAGTGTATCTTTCGTGACTGTCCGTTTGTCGGTGTGGGTGTTGGCAGGGATCATGTGCATTTAGTAGTCTACGGCAATCTATGTTAATATAGTACTAATACCTCCTTCTTGTATTCGTCTTTATCTGTGCTGATCATGATATTTTGATACACCAATACGGGATACTCCGGCAAAAGATCCCATATCCAATTTCTCTCTATGCTTTGACACATACGCTGCCAGCAAACCAGACGTGACTTGTGAACTATGGTGGATGAACAAGTGGCAATATCAGAAAGGACCATGGCTGTTCATATTATTACATATCCCTCGATTCTCTTATAGAGTTCATGGGGGTAATCTAGGCAAAGTTGGACACAAAGCTATACAGTCGGTATTTTTCTTTTGCATTGCCTGTTATATCATACAGCAACAGGCAAGTTATTACTCTAAACATTCTAGTAACTGCCTTCCAGTTCTAGGTCTTTCTTCACATGGATTCGAAGTCTCAAACATTAGTAGTATAACCTTCCATCTATTGACTAGGGTTCAGATGTCCGTATAACCAACAATCTAACCAACAATTGCAGACTATTGGTAGATGTGATTGGACAGTTCCTGTGGCAGATAGATAAACTCCAGACATTCGAACTTTTCTACATTTCAAGTTATACGTTATATCACATTTGTCATGGCTCCAGCGCCAGTTGATCTGACTTGCAGACCCACATATCAAGAGAAATAAGCGCCCTCCATGCATGACGAACCTTCCGATATCTGCAGACAGTAAAAAAGGTCATGGCAATTGCATCTTTCCCCACGGAATATGCTCTGGATATCTCGAGGAATGATGTGAAACAGAAGACGGCTCTCGGAAGCTGGTTTTCCGACATTAGACAAATGTGAAGTGGGAACCGCATCTCACTAGCCCTGAAAGGCAAGAGAACAGCCGAGAGGAGCCCAGACAAGTGCCCCGGAGCCCAGCACCGATGTCCTCCATTGGGCTCGGCTCTGTACCCCTTGTCGATCTGCAGTGGAGATGCTTCTCTAGGACCCAATGGAGAGACAATACATATCGGCCTCGGCTTTTAGAATGGAGCGAAAAGTCCGAATGAGGCCATTCGGAGTCACCAGAACATCAGTGCAATGTATTAATGCGACAAACTGCCATGGAGAGATCCGCCATGGTGGAGTAAGCTTTTCGGTACTGATTGGTCTAGTCGTCAAGCCATACCCAGGGTTTGATTATGACAGGCTCGTCTGGGGCGCGGGTCTGCTGACCGGGCCCACGCCTACTGCATGATAACAAGATTGTCCTAAGCTAACTGTAAGGAACGGAATCATCAACCTCGGAGATGACTTACCATACCATTACTCTGGTGTTTCATCACAGTACCAGCCACTGTCTAAACCATGCATGATTGGCTAATGATCGTTATGAGGAGGCTACCAGCGGTTATGTACTACGTGAAAGTTTCGACAGAGTAATAATGGCGTTGCTAACGGAAGTGAGTGGAGCATAAAGCTATTTAAATAGCATTGAAGCTCCTCGATCACACCATCGCTTTACGGGATTTCACCATCCAATTCTTCTTTGATTGATCCAGACGAGTTTAAGCTTATCGATCCGGTTACTATACTCAGCCCTATACTTCAATATGACCCTCCGTCGACTTCTCCTCGTCAGCTATCCCCGTACAGCATCCAATCTCCTTCTAAAGATCCTTGCTCTTGCAGATCAACCCAATGTCGTCGCCAATGAGCAGGGCGGTTACTTCTTCATGAAAGCCTATACTACTGCCTCCAAGGATGGCCGCATTTACAAGCCAGCCGACCACTGGACCACCGAAGAGTGCGATGAAGTCCGGTCTACCTTCCAGGAATGTCTGAACGAGCTAGAGGAATACAGCAGCCGTGCAGAAAAAGAAAATAAAATGCTGGTCACCAAAGAACATGCTTTCTGGCTCTGTAACCCAATGGCATTCAGCCGGATGATCTACGGCACCAATGGTAGCTATGACTCCCTTTTCCACCTACAAGTCCCAGCCACCTACGGACCCTCCCAGACTTTCTCCCCAAACAACGAGACCGTCTTTCCGGACGAGTATCTGCGCACCTGGCGCCTGGCGTTCATTATCCGTCATCCGGCGCTGGTGTTTCCATCCTTTTATCGTGCAATGATGAAGATGGTGGCCGCAGGTGTTATTAAAAAAGAGGAGCTACCTGGCGTCTTAGAGACAAATATGTCGTTGAAGTGGACTCGGATGCTCTACGATTACGGCATGGAGCACAATGACTCTGATTCCAAACCATTGTTGCTGGACGCCCATGATGTTATTCACAACCCCGCTGTGATAACTCGATTCTGCGAGCTGGCCGGCCTGGATTCCAAGAAACTCAAGTTTGAGTGGGAGAAGAAGTCAGATGCTAGTGGTACGCCGAGTAAGGGAACGCCTGTCGAACAGAGAGACGCTACGGGGCAAGACGTGCGCTTCAATAACCAGCAAGCTCATGCAATCATGCTCTCTAGTTTAGCGGGATCATCTGGGGTTCTGAAAGATAAGGCGCCGGTGATACTGAACGTCACTACTGAGGCGTCTAAATGGAGGGAGGAATTTGATGAGGAGACCAGTCTTCTTCTTGAGAAGGCAGTTCTGGCAGCCATGCCAGATTACGAATACTTGAAGGCTCAGCGTGTTCAACTGTAGATTTTATTTGGATACCGTGATCTGGAGAGAACGTAAGACCTAAGGTGAACAGCGAAACTATTGCAGAGAATATGGTGGTTGACGCGCAAGGATTTGGTAGTTCAAGATATCAACTTAGACAAAGTCTGGATCAAATAGGATGGGTTATGAATATTAATGGTTGGTTCAGCAATAAGATAATGTAGGAAGGTTACCTAAAGTCCTATTAAATATACTTGTGAAATGCAACGAATAGGAGTTGTAGAAAAGAGGTTGCCCGATAGAGAAGGAGGGCTTAAGGGCCAGGACCCACCCGACCAAAGGGCTAGCCCTAGGTCACGTGTTGGAAGTATGGAACCGGATCGGCTAGTGTATTTATCCGCACTAGCGCGGCCCACGCACGAAGCGACTAGCTTTTCTTTTCTACTAAGCTGAAATTACTTTGAACTTTCCCTTCTTCCTTTCTCCGTCAATCCCGTCACCCAGCGCCGTTGCGGAACTCAGTCGACAAAAATGGTAAGCATATAACGTCCAGTTGATTTGATTGTCTAGCTTTCGAAAACCTCTGCGACATGTCGTGAGACGATCTCGTCGGCTTCATTTCGCAAGTCTCGAAGCATATTCCGCTGGTCGCACAAGTCCTTCGGGATGCGAGCGTCAGCGATGATTTGGCTGGAGACACCGGTCTAGTCGTTGAAATATACACTAGATCGGTGTTCTCTCTAGAGTTCAAGGAAGATGCAGCGTTGGTGGACACGATGTGCTGATCTTCTTTTCTCAATGACAGCCTCCCAAGTCCGGAAAGAAGGCCGCCCCTCTGCCCTACCCCCAGGGTAAGGCTGGTTCTAAGAAGGCCCCCAAGGTATGTAGAGAGAGTGTACTCCCCTAGCTAGGAACCATATTAGATGCTAATATGCGTGCAGAACCCTCTCATCGAGAAGCGCTCCCGCAACTTCGGCATTGGCCAGGACGTCCAGCCCAAGCGCAACCTCGGTCGCTTCGTTAAGTGGCCCGAGTATGTCCGTCTTCAGCGCCAGAAGAAGATCTTGAACCTCCGTCTCAAGGTCCCCCCTGCTATTGCCCAGTTCCAGAGCACCCTGGACCGCAACTCCGCTGCCCAGACCTTCAAGCTCCTCAACAAGTACCGCCCTGAGACCAAGGCCGAGAAGAAGGAGCGTCTCCACGCTGAGGCTACCGCCGTTGCCGAGGGCAAGAAGAAGGAGGATGTCTCCAAGAAGCCCTACAACGTCAAGTACGGTCTTAACCACGTTGTTGGCCTCGTTGAGAACAAGAAGGCTTCCCTTGTCCTCATCGCCCACGACGTTGACCCCATTGAGCTGGTTGTCTTCCTTCCCGCTCTCTGCCGCAAGATGGGTGTCCCTTACGCCATTGTCAAGGGCAAGGCTCGTCTTGGTACCGTTGTCCACAAGAAGGTAAGAGTTGCTCTTCACCCTGGTGGTGATTCATAGTGCTAATTCGACCATCAGACCGCTGCTGTCCTCGCTCTGACTGAGGTCCGCTCTGAGGACCAGTCTGAGTTCTCCAAGCTCCTCTCCACCATCAAGGAGGGTTACACTGACAAGTACGAGGAGTCCCGCCGTCACTGGGGTGGTGGTATCATGGGCGCCAAGGCTGTCGCCCGCCAGGAGAAGAAGCGCAAGGCCGTTGAGTCCGCTGTCAAGATCTAAACTAGTCCAAATGTCTAGTCTAGTTCCGCAATGACGGGTTTTCCAACGATCTTAATGACAAAATATTGCGCTCTTCCGGATACCAAAAATTGGGATTAATTATTCAAAAAGCAAATCGCGGCCACGGTTTCTGGGAATGGTGTTAAGGGCTCGGTTAACTTATTGATGGCATAATAGCTTAGATGGGTGGAGAGCTTCTGGCACCCAATCCTCAATCCCAATCCATCTTGATGGTCCACTCTGTTTCTTTCACTCTTATATACACGTCGCAGATACCCATGAATGCTATTTAACACTTCAACCCAATCGCTCTTGTAGTACCCCTTCGTCTAAGCATTCATGTGAGGTCTGCTCCAGTAGCTCCCAGTGGTAGAAGTAATCCACACTGATCCTTTTCAACTTCCTCTTTCTGTTTCAATCTTTAGAAAAAAAATGTGGAGCTCGGCTGGATTGCAAGTGAATGAATGATTATAACCCGGGGACCCATTCCCTTCCCCTCATAATGAATGCTATGTTCGTACAATACACCGCATGCGTACATATGCTGAAACATCTATACATCAAAGAAAGCGTGTTGTGTGAAGTCAAACCCAAAATAAAATGCAGCCAGACAATGCCCCCCTAAAACGTATTTTCATGAACCACTGAAGACAAGCAAAATCCCACAATCTGAAGCGTATAAAACAAGCAATTAAGAGCTAGCCAGCCCACCCAAGCCTAAGGAGCACCCGCCAAACCGTATTTAAAACAACAAGAACGCAATAGGGAGATGATATAGAAAGGGGATAGGATTAAAGAGGGTCGGAGGAGGAAACATGAATTCGTTGAGTCGTTAGCGTTGGGCAGGTGGTCGCGTGAGTCCTTGCCTTGCCTGCACCATTCTAAGTCAGAGATGATCCATAATTTGGGACTAAATATACGTACCTTCATCTGTTCTATCCTTGCTTTAAGCTGGCTCGTCACCTCGGCAGCTCGCTTCCAGTTCTCCGCTGGCTCTGTACTTCTTGTCGGCTGGTCATCTCCTGAAGCATTGCTAGAACCCAACATTGGAGACCGTGTGGGACTACCCATTCCAGAATAACTGGTGCCAAATGTAGGGCTTAGCTTCCGTCGGCCGAGACTATCTCTGCTGCCCAGGCCTGGAGATTCCAGACCACTGTTCTCCTTTTCTTCACTTGGGCTGGCTGAAGCATAACTCCTCGGTCTTGAGCTCTCGAATCGTGAACCCATGTGGTAGCCACGTGCTAAAGGACCGTGGCCATTGCTAGCTGCGTCTTGATAAACTGATCCGGCGTCTCCATATGACATGCCAATCCCTTCTGGTAGAGTGTTGGGCGGGCTGATAGCGCTAGCACGAAGGGCCCTAGCCAACTCACGTTTCAGACGGTCAATTTCCCGCTGCTGTTTCTGAACGGTCTGTTCTGCGGTCTCTGCATCACTCCGAGCCCTAACCAGTTGGGTTTCCTTGGCCTTGATACTCAGAACATCCCTCGTATGATCTTCAATGAGTTGTGCGTTCTGATCCTGAAGTTCTGTCACTTGAGACTTCAATTTGGACCTCTCTGACTTCAAATCTTCAACCAACCGGGTAAACTTCTCCTGTTCGAGACGCAATTCCTCTAGCTCAGCCCGCTCAACAGCCGACATTCCGGTCAGTGGAGGCGCCGCTGGTGGAGGCGAAGGCTCACGAGGAGCGGCTGGCTTGGCGATAGGACGGCCTGCAAGTCCTCTACCAAGACCAAACTTGGGGGCAGCAGGAGCCGCGGGTTGCTCCTCGGGAGGAGAAACAACTCGTCGTTGTGGCGAGGCTATACCTCCGGGACCACCCAGCTTTTTCTTGAGACCAGAACCTGGTCCGGGAAGTCCACCAGCCTTAGGACCGCCCAATCTCGATGGTACAGTCTTCTTAGGGGGTGAGGGAGCTGGTGCTGGTTCTTCAGATGGTGGCGGTGCCGCAGCTGGAGCGGGCTTTTTCATTCCCAATGCTGGCTTTTTCCCACCGACGACCTTTTTACCAGCCGCCGGAACAGCCTTGGGGGCACCAACAATAGGCTTAGGCCTATCTTTCGCTTTGACCTCTGCCGTATCAAAGAACTCCTTAATCTTCGTCTTCCTGATATCATCGAGGCCTTCAAGGTACGGGTTCATCGCTCGCTCACCCATGATCTTCATCAATGTCCCAAGGATTTCAGCTCCTCCCGATCGGTTGACCTCACTGGATTCAGTGAGAAGCTTAGTAGCCGCTTCAGCAATCGACTTGACCTCCGCTTTCGAGGGCACGTCCCTGGTGGTACGAAGACAACGGATAAGGAATTTGAGGGTTTCTTGCTTCACTTGCGGATTCTTATGCTTCAAAAACTCAAGAATCTCCTCCAAGCAATCTGTCAATGTAGTCGATGCGAAGACCGAGTCTAAGGCTTGGCCCAGAGCCTCTGCAACGCTCTGCTTCTTCTCCTTCAGGCGCTCCAGCATAGGAGCCATGATACTTGAGCGATATTTGCCGAATCCGTTCCGAAGGCCTTTAGCGAGTAAGTCGACACAGTTGGCAGCGACGGTCACAACCGCAATGTTAGCGTCTTTCATGCGAGCGGCTAGCGCGCGTACAATATCGTCGAATGGCCCATCCTTGATTCTTGGGACGTTCAGTGCTGAATGCAGAGCATCCAGTGCCTCCTTCCGGTCTTTCCACTTCGATGATGATAGCTGCTCGTGTAGGTCTTTCGGAACTTTAGGCATCACATCAACAGGTTCCGCGAGGTCAAAAGCATCAACCTCCCCACCGTCTTCCTCCCCGTACTCTTCACCGCCGTCTTCGCCTTCACCATCTTCAGGAGCTGCGCTGGCGGCGGCCATCGCGTCTTGCTGGGCTCTAGTTAATCTCTCTTGCTTCGGTGCCGACTCTTGTTTGACATTTTCGAAGAGTTTCTCTAAATCGGTCTGCTGGACTGGCTTTAGTTCGCCCCAGAAAAGAGGTTTAATGGCCTCTTTCAGCCACCGGTACATTTCCACTGTGAGACTTTGCGCTTCCGCGCGAACGTTCTTGTCTGCATGTCCGAAGACCTTGGGCAGGGTCTTAAGGACCGGCTTGGGATCGACAATCTTGCATCCAAAGTTGTGATAAATTGTTCTCAAGCCAGTCAATGTCGCAGCAATAACCTTGGGTACCTTGTGTGATAGCCCAGGCAGCATCTCTTCGATCACGGGATCCGCCTTATCTAATTCGACTAATAGTAGAAGAGCTTCTTGAGCGTTTGTCTTTGCTGCCGGCCTCGTGGAGGGAAGACCCTTTTCTACAATGGGAAAAACTGTGGTAGCGCGAGACCTTTTCGGAGAAACATTAGTCACCCCTATCACAGGGCAGTGTAGATCATCCAAGGACATCATACCTTGTGCAAGCCTGAACACCTCCGAATTTTAAGAAAGCGCAGTAGGCCGCGAGGCCATCTTGTTGGGCCGCGACATTGGAATCTGCGACAGCGCCTTTCCATAGGCCCGCGTCTTGGATAAACGGTGTGAAAACGGGATCTGATTCATCTGGGGATTTCTCGAACTGTTGTTTGGCATCTTCATACCCTCCCTTACGCACTTTCCAGTTCTATGTTGGCAAGGGCGAAAGATTAGTCCATGGGAATTGAGTGAAGACGTCGAGGGGCGGGGCTCACCTTGTGCGTGAACCGTTCGGGCAATGGGAGAGAGGAGAAGTCCTCCTCTCCGTCAGCCATGATGACGGCAAATTAAAGTGTACTAGAGGAGAGGTTAATTAGTCAAGTCCTGAGATCTGCCAGGGCAAATGTGCCATATATAGGGAACAAGTACAGTGAATCTCGTCTATATATTCACTCTAGACAAAGACACTGCACAGAGACTGAGGGTTGGGTAGATTCTCTCTTATGCATCGCACACACCTTAAGCTTGCAGAAGGTTGCAGGATCCGTGCGGTTGGGCAGTTAACCGTATGTTTAGCCACGCACAACGGGTATCCGAAGAAAAGTATAACTCAATGTCGGGAGGATGTCAGAATCACAATGGATCGATATTCTGCCGCTGAAAATAGGAACCGGACAGAACTTGTGGGGTAAGAGGATAGATGGAAGTTCAATCAGACAAGCAGAGTGGGAGAGAGAGAGAGACGAAGTAAACAACGGGCAAGTCGCTCCGGTGACTTCGCGACCCAAAAGGGAGAGGGACGGACTGGTCTTTTTTTCTGCCAATCTTTTCCGGCTTGTCTTCCCCGCGGATCAACAAAAACAAACACACTTTATTCTTTTCCTTTTTATCCCTAGAGTATTAAGTTATTAACACCTCATATCGCTGATCACTTGGGATGATTTGATTTAATAGAGTTTGATGGACAACCCCTGACCCGAAAATTCATTATTCGACCATCTACGGTGTACTCTCTTTTGGAATGATATTTCCATCATATGATTTACTGCAATATATTTTAGACCTTTGGGGCAATTTCACCGTGCATGGACAACGGACTACGCTAGACTAGTAGTAGACAGAACTTATGGGTGGGTCAACATTGAATTGTAATGAGTGTCAAAGAAATTCTGACAGGGCTTATAAGATGTATCACTCTGACCACGATAATGTTACACGTTGAGCAGCCCCTTTTAATTGCATCTTCTGTGGCTGACATTCTCCTAGGAGAATTCTCAGGTTATCATTTTCTTCCCACGTGATCCTTAGCATTGGGAAGTAGTGATTATATACATATTATGGTGGATACTATACGCTGACAGATTCCTGTAACCCAAAAGATATATCGTTGAGGAGTCCAGAAACCACGCCCTAATATGGCGATAGTAGTTGAAACAAAGGTATGAGTGAGACAATATATATAGCTAGAACAAGACACTCGTTGCCCTAAAGGAATGCGAGCTTGTCTTTATCGGGTAGAGAGGAACCCTGTTGGATGGCATAACACAGCGAGACTGTTACTAGAGGCTCACTAAGAAATTGCACAAATAATATAAAAGCAGTTTAAGGCTAATGACTCATCTTGAATATTACCAACGACATGCTAACCAAGCAGCTGCAGATTCCCGTTGACATTATATAGACCAACATCAGCCCTATCAGCCCTACCTCCGCAAGCTCCCCCAAAGAATCACCTAACCTTAAGCATAAAGCCTAAACCCGATAGTCACATTCCCAAAGGCCCACTAGTCTGCCCTGATCCTCCAAACTGCGTAACCTCATATCCCCCTTCCGAGTCCTCACTATGCAGCGTGGTCACCTCCAGCTTGTTCTCCCCAAGATCCCATGGGCTATCCCAGTAGATGTTCTTATCCGCGGTACCGTTAGATTTCAGATCAAAGTTGCCTTCTCTACCTGAAGAGGAGTACGCCTGGTCACAGCGCCGGAAGACGTAATGTTTTTCAGGCTTAATCTTTATGCCGTCGACCTGGGAGATGGGCACTTCGTCTGCGTTGGATTTGCCTTTAAGGTAGACCTTACCCCATAGTAACTTGATGTCGTCGATGATCAAGGTGCCTGATTTGCTCTTATCTCGAGATGGATCTCCGTCCATTGGAAAGTGGCTTTGGGGCTTGGATCCATTATTCGTTGTTTGCGGGTGTAGTTAGTTTAAACTGAGGCTTGTAGTTAGATAATGGGTGAAGGAGAGAAGCTTGAGAATATTGGTCGATCGAGCGAAATTGATCGAGGGATTATGAGCTTTTGATATACGATGGATGAATGAGTCTGGTGCTTGATTGAAACTCATTTTGTACTGGCACTTCAGCTGCGTTGAACTCTGGTATGTAATAGTGCATTTCGCAATATGCATTCCAAAAGCCAACATCGCCTAGCTGGAAACTATACAATTGAGGAATGAGACTCTGTGATATAGCTCATGTAACTTATTACAGGTATTTACACCGCGTAAGCGCAAGAGTCTAGACCTCTAGTGCTGGTTCTAGCCGCTGGAGCCTGAGCATCTGTAGCACTTCCCTTGCACGCACATATGTACAATAAGTTTGTGCATTTAGACGGACAATTGTGAATCGAAAGTATCCCAGTCGATGCTTTCAAAGTCCATGCCCATGATATTAAACGGATCAAACACATCAAAAGGGGCTAGATTCATCTGGCTAACAGTGTTCTCAGTCTGCGTAGGCAGTAATGCTGAGTCTATACCCGATGTGGCACCGTTTGCAAGTTGCAATTCGGGTGCCCTGGACGTCTCAGTGCTATTCAAAACAAGATGCAAAGCATGAGATACCCGTCGTGCGTCTCTGCTGGCCTGGGAGTTCTCTACGCAAACCTGGTAAGACTGTTCGAGGAGAGAAAACACTTCTTTCTGTATGGCAAAATCGATGGTCTCATTCCATGAGACTTGTTTGCGATGGATATGTATCACCAGGCAGAGCACCATGACGCCCAACAGAAAGTCATTCATCGTGAAATTTGTCAGCATCCATTGCTCTGCGTGTAGTTGACCACCAGGTGAGAATTCCTTGTACATATCGATAAACTGACTGACAAGGCGCTTTGCGGCTTCAACGCAAGCTTTAGTACTATTAACATTGCCCTGGACCATGTATCCGCGATGCAGAACACAGAGATTCTTCAGGCAAATAAATTCAATATATAGCCTGGTAATTATGAGAAAGGGAGGATCCGCAATGGACTCTGAGAGAGGCCGAGTTCGCAAGATATCGGGAATCGTTGCGTACATTTGCCGAATTTCTTCGTCCAGCCGATGTAGATCAGCTTCAGACTGCTCATTGGGAGAGAGCATGTATTTACAGACTTTGCTGAAGCTAGTAATTTGTCTATCCTTAACGATGAACCATAGCAACTTTGTAGGTTCTGTCTCGGGTCGAGACTCAGGCAAGACCTGCGTGTCCACATCAAAGTCTGAGTCTAAGAGATTTCTTGGGGACTTTGTGTCACAACTCTCGAGACAAATGTTACTCGGTAAGCCCAGCTGGAAACTAATCATGACATCCATGTGCTTACACGCAGCCCAGAATCGCCTGCGCATTTCGCCTTCAAAAACACTCAGAGAGCCGAAGGAGTCTGGATCCCGGTGGTAGCCCAATTCATACGCCATACGGACAACCATTCCCAGAATCACCCCAGCTTCTCGGGAAGGGTCCAAATCCCTAAGATTCTTGCACTGACCATAGACAGCGAGCGCCTCAATTGCAAGTTTTTGCGGTCGATGATACTCCCCGATGACAAGGCATTGGCCAGCAGCTGTGTGGAACTTGGGACTTTCGGGGAGTGCATCTCTTTTTAGTGGACGACCTGGGCCAGCTGTTTCCCTGGTAAGGGATGACAAACAACATATAGAAAATAATATGGAAAGCCAAAGAGGATCAATATTGGTTGGATCGGCCCAAAATTCTCTATACTGGCGCTGGAAATGATAGGTGTGGATGAATGGAATTACGAAAGTCTCGCCCTGGAAGTATGACGAAAGATATCGATCAACATCCACTTTCGAGGGAAGATATAGAGACATGACATGTTGCAAAGAGTAAATATGTGGCGATCCAAATATCAGCTCAGTACCCAAGGCAGGAGCCCCTGGCGTAGCAAGTCTATTAACTCCCTGTTTATCAACTGAGTCACTCAAGGCCACCTTTAGCTCGTGAATATCGTCCAGAATAGCTGACCAATGTGTGGAACCGACATATGCGGTAGCGTCGATCGAATCACCCTGAGATTGAATAGCAGCAGCATCTATCGAGCGGCGGGACAAATCCGGGGGCACCATATCGTTTTCTGATGGCAATTCCCTGTTACGCATCAATGTCTTGAGCAAAGACTCCAGGTGTGTCAGCCTGCTCTCAAAGGTGCTATGGTCGCCCTTATTAATCGTTGGCCCCGCCCTCTGCCGATAAGAACAAGCGTCTGATTCATGTCTCCTAATACAGCTACTGCAAGGCTGTCCTCGATCACATCGAAGCTTAGACTTTCTGCATTGCTCGCACACAAGCGATGCTCTCTGCGACTTTGTTACTTTCGCAGTCGAGGTCCTTTGGTGAGAACCAGGGTCTTTACGAGCTCGAAATTTGCCTGTAAATTTTGAGATGTCGGACATTTTCTTTAAAGTTTCATCTGGGAGTCTGAGAGAGGTTGTTCAATGCGTCATGATCTCATAACATCAGCAGGATCATGAAATACGGATGCGAGTACTATGCTACTTGTTCCCACACTACCCAATGAACAGCCCCCAATCTAGCGGTCACATGGATAGTCATCTGAACTTTAGACTGTATCCGGTAAAGACTGATATTCAATATCGCCATTAGTAATCTATACGAACGGGATAAGTCATTATATACAACTACCAAGGTTGAATTCCGTCCCGACGAATAACTTTCCCAGCGTCCTGATCACGGGTTCCTTCAACGACATCTCGCACAAATTCCGCCCCAATGATCGGATCTAATGCGCCTAATTTCTTATACAACTCCGTATTACCACCCAAGCCAGTCGCCAAGAACCCCGGTGAGATGCCAAAGACCTTGACGCCATCTTCTCGCAGGATCCGAACCCACTCGCACATCATCATGTTCAAACCAGTCTTGCTGGACCTATATGCTCCAAAAGTAGGCTCTTCCTTGGGCCAACCCTTCGCGGGCGCCTTATTGAATCTGTACGAGGCATCCTCAGTCTCACCAAGCGCCGATGTGCCGCTTGTGATGAATAAGACTCTCGGATCGGACGATTTCAGGAGAAGGGGCACGAATGTGTGAGTGAGGATATGTGTTCCAACGGTATTGACGTTCCATGACTTGTTCCACATTTCTCGCATTGTCAGGTTTCCAGAGTAGAACTGGGTGTCCAGCAGTGCCCCTGCATAAGTTATATTAGTCTTTGGTCAGGTTAAGGTTGTAGTCTTCAAGGGTCTACAAACCTGCGTTGTTGATCAAGATATCCACACGACCGTATTCGTTAGCGACATGCTCAAATGCTCTCGAGATCGAGTCGTCGTATTCTACGTCGACTTGGATGGTTTTGACAATGCTGCAGCTCTGGGGGTATTCCTCTTGCACTTCTTTGGCTGCAGCATCGGCTTTGTCGAGATTCCTGCCTCCGAGAAGGATGGTGTATGCTTTGGGTGAGCGCAGCAATGCCTTGACTGTCTCAAGCCCAAGGCCAGTATTGGCACCGGTGATCAAAACGATTGGGTTGGAGGACATTTTGGTTTCTTTAACACGATTGGCACTAGATTGGATAGCTTAGTGAGGAGTAGGCATAGTTAGCTCTGGAGACGCAAGCATTGCCTTTATAAGCATTTCTTGGTCTGATATAAAATCAACTACCAGTCTCGGACATTACAGCACTCCGATATATTTACTATAGAAGGTATAAATAATCATAACTTGCGTGGATGGGAATGATGGGGTTTCGGAGGAAAGCTTTCAAACTTGCCTTTTTGGGAAACAAAGTCGGCCGAGCTAGACTTTCCGTATTTGGGGGCTATAGTTGCAGGAGGAATATCAGATATAGATTAGACCAACGGTTAGTATACAGAAGTAGATCGTCGAGTTACAAGGATTTTCATCATTCAGGAGGCTATTCTCTAAAAGTACAATATTCGAAAAACATAACATACTACTTATGACTACGGAGTGCATATCTCGCATAGACCCAGCATAACCCTAACAGGGGTGTACACAATCCATATTTCTGACATACATTCTATCTCAACTCCTCCCTTGTAAAAACCCGACACCTAGTGCCATTACCAGAATGCGAGCAGTCATCAGGGTAAGGATAAGCCGGATCAAACTGCCACAAGAAGTATGGATCGGTCTCATTCACAAGGACATCCCCAATCAAGACAGTAGGAGACATCAAGTCCAAAGAAGCCCGAAAAACCTCCAATGAAGATATATGGATCTGGGACCAGCCTTTCCGGACTAACGTATCAATTGAGGTTCCGTAGACATATTCCTTAAACCCCGCCCACCGAATGGTTGTGCAGTTCGTGATGGCTGCTATTTCTCCTAAGGGGTACCAATATCCATCAGCATTGAACGAAGGAACCACTATCCGAAGGAGGTTTGAGATAAGGTACCGTGTAGGGACGGGTTTCCGGTCTGGCGGTTCTGGTTAAACCCGATACATATCAGATCTCCAAGTCCATCATTATCAGTATGATTAACGACAGCAGTGCCAAATGCAGCGAATGGGCAGGGAGAGCCGCTTAGTTCGCCCAATACTCGATTTGCCCGGCGCATCCAGCAAGCTCTAGTTGAGAAAGGAATGCCATTTGCAATTGAGTTGAGTTGGGAACTGTACTGGTAAGGATCATCTGAAATAAGCACAAGAGAACTGCAATGGGAACAGTGAAAAGACGCATTTTGCAAACTGGAGGAAGTAGCTGCACCTTGAGTTTGATAGATTTGGGGTTTTAAATGGTCTCTAGACGTGTTTAAAATTCATTGTCTAGCATCATGAGACGCGGGGGTCTTATCTATTTCCCCTGCCCCCAGCGACTCTATGCCCATTGGTGCTTATCAGAAAAGCGTAACCTGACAGCATGGATCTAATACCTGCTAAATCTGCTGATACACTGTGGTAAGTCGACGGGCATATATCATGATGTTGACTTACTCTGAGTTACTATCAAGTCTAACAGCAGAACAGACACTAGAACTAGAGCCTACTTCCTTTGAAAGTATTGTTAAACCAGTAAATCTTCTATACTCTTGTCTACGCAATCACATCCCAACAACATAGGTGTTCAACCCTCAGAGACCTGTTTTGTTTCGTCTAGCTCGTATAATAGTCAATTGCATAATGATCGAACCCTATGACATACGCTTTTTCTAGTCTTCAATGGCTATCGAATCCCTCTAGCGGGATACCTATCAACTAGAGGTTCAGTTACAGGTCTGTATGAAAGCATTTAATCAGTAATTGTCTACAATTAACATTTCTGAGATCTAACCTCAATGCCAGACTCCAATCTTATCAACAAACTATACGTTGCCTTCCTTGAGCTCAAGCCCCAGTAAGCTTCTCGATCACCCTCTACAAGAGGTCAAAAGCAGCTATTTTAAAAGCTTACATTTATATAGTATGACTTGCCAATATGACTAATGTTGCAAAGAAAAGACTAGTAGCACACATGCACAATGAGATATAATACATTCGGAAGGAGTCGACACACATCAAAGATAAAAGCAGCCCTCTGAGCCCAATATCTATCTTATACAATCAAAGAGAAATGCCAAAGAAGGACAAGCGGAGTAGATTCGCCTTCTACTGGGCCCCAGTACGCTCATAGATTAGCCTCCTGATCCGCCCAACGTGCTCTTGTCCTCCTAAGCTCTGGCCCTCGCCGCCCTCTGCTCTTCTGGCTTCCCTGCGCTCCCACTTGACGGTTAGCTTGGCTACGCGCTCTGCGTCCCGCTCTTCACGTGTCAGAACAGCCGGTCTGTCTTCAATTGCCTCGCCGAACGGCGCAATGATCCTTTCGACAACATGACGCACATGCCGGCTCTTCGGGTATCCCGAGGAGAACTCGATGACGTCCCCTTCGCGCAGGGAGTTCCTTGGGTCGGACACAAGATATGTCGTAACTTTAGGGTATGTCTTGCGAATGTGACTGTCCCACATGGTGTGGCGGTGGGCGACGCGGACGGTACGGTCCATGCGGCCGACGGAGACCACAGTGCCGGTCTTCAGGGTATAGGGATAGCTGCGGAGAGAAGGAGGAGCCGCCGATGGAGTAGAAGGTGCTGTGGAAGATTGGGTCTCCGTGGGTGCAGCAGTCGTCGAATTCAAGCGGCGGATTGGTGTCGAGATGGCAGAGTAGATGTGTGCGGCTGGGGACGAGGTCGATGTAGGTCTGAGAATAGAAGAGCGGAGGGGCTGCATCGCCCGGAAGAGGTTGCTTGGACGCATATTCATATGAGTAGAGGGGTTCCCCTGTGCCTGTTCTTGTTGCTTGTTCCTTTTGGGTGCGACAAAGTCCGACCAGGTAGTTCCCCAAAGGCGCGTGCGGATTTGTCGCGGATAGAGAATGAATTGCACGTCCGCGAAATTTCGGCTCAAGCCCAATTCAAGTCCAATAATATCACAATTTGGGGCAATATGATCTCGTCTCAACGAAAACTCAGGCGGCGTCTCCGGTGAAACAGCGTCAAATCCGCGGACGAGGCCGTCCAGAATTTCTCGCCGGTGTTTGCACTGTTTGCATACACGCGCCATGCACATGTACAGTTCAACTGGGAAGTGAGGTTGATCTTTCCAGAACTGAGCCACTAATAGCGGATCGATGACATATTATTCTGGTCTATCAAATACAAATAAATGATGGTAATACACGCTGAGTTGAGAGCTTAGAGAGAACGCTTAATGTACAGTACACCAGCAACACCTCAACCTTTTATACCCATCCATGACCCGGACCCAGGAATCTAAGTACAATATTACCCTCTTATGAGATTTCATATGAGTGACCGAGAATCTTAACCAATGCAAAACAAACTCAAAAAAAAAAAAAAATTCATTCACGTCATCCAGTGCTCACAGGCCGTCAATAAAAAGCTCTGAGCAATTCGTCACACAATTTTGTGTTTCCTCTTCTGATACGCCAAATGCGACAGTATAGAAGCTAGGTGTCTTTTTGGTGCGTAATCAAGACGATCCCTCAGACTCTACACCGTTCACTTGTTCGTGGTACGTGCCGGCCAGGGAAGCCCTTTTAGACTGGAATTTCTCCGCAGATTGGGTAGATATCCTCGTCAATTCCGTTACGAATGACTGGCCCCAGAAGGCACTAAAATAGGTTAGCGATGTTCATCAGTCCGAATGTCGTGCATGTGCATACCTCGTATATTTATTGACATATTTGTCCAGCTTGGAGAAATTCAGAGCCCTTTGCTCGTCGCTCATGGTGACAGCCTCCTGGTAAGCACTAGCTAGTTCTTCGGTGTTCCAAGGGTTAATAATAATACTGCCATTGAGACTCTGGGCTGCACCAGCAAATTCTGAGAGGACCAAAACGCCGTGCCGCTTTTGCTGAGCTGCAATATATTCGTACGCGACCAGATTCATGCCATCCCGAGTTGACGAAACAATGCACGCGTCCGACACAGCATATAGGGCAATCAGTTCATCGAAATTGACCGACTTGTGTAGGAAGTGGATTGGCATGAATTCCACAGTACCTAATCAGGTCAGCAATATGTTATAATGCCCTGCCAGTAAAATCACTCACCAAACTTCCCGTTGATGCGACCAACCAGCTCGTTCACAACAGCCCTCAAATTCTGATACTCCTCGACATCCTGTCTACTGGGGACAGCAACTTGGACCAAGACAACTTTACCAACCCATTCAGGGTGGTCGCTAAGGAACACTTCCAGCGCATGCAGCTTTTGCGGAACGCCCTTGATATAGTCAAGACGGTCAACACCCACCATAAGCTTCACTCCTTGAAACTTCTGTTCAAGTTGTGCAATCCGCTTCTGAACTTTCTCTTTCTTAAGGCCCTCCTGAAATTTCTCAGGGTCAATCCCGATCGGGAAAGCCCCGCAGGCAATGATTTTGCCCTGGAACTCTATGCCGTTAGGAGTCGTCGCCAAACCCCTAGATGCCCATCATTAGCTCCCACGTTTTTACGTAACGACTGGTCTCAACGTACAATAAGCGCGAGCAAGCGCTCAGGAAATGTCTTGTATAGTCGTAGGTGTGGAAGCCTATGAGGTCGCAATGGAGGACCCCAAGCAACAGCTCGTTTCGGACGGGAAGAATTCTGTAAATCTCACTGCTAGGGAAGGGGGTGTGGAGGAAGAACCCAATCTTAACATTCTGCTTCTGGTCTCCGATTTCTTCTCGAAGCATCTCAGGGAGAAGCATCAAATGGTAGTCATGCACCCAAATTAGGTCGCCATCCTGGACTTCTTTCGCGACGGCCCGCGCAAATAGTCGATTCGCATCCTTATAAGCGTCCCAAGCAGATTCATCGAAGGTGATTTCACCAGGATGATAATGGAAAAGGGGCCACAGAATAGAATCTGAGTAACAGTAGACTTATTAGCAACTTGATGCAACTCGAAGCACTTGAGTTTGCAATATAAATGCATGGTAAGAGGTACTAACTGGAGAATCCGTTGTAGTGCCGGTCCGCGAGCTCATCATCGATAAATACGGGAACCGCATTGTACTCATCCTTCAACCGTTGCTTCACCACCGGTATCTCTTCTTCGGGGACCTCTAGGCCAGGCCAGCCATACCATTGGAACGTAGTGGATTTTGAAAGGCCACTGAGTCCGCTAACCAAGCCACCAGAAGACATGGAAAAGTCATACTTGCCGTCCTCGGAGCGTTTTATCGTAATCGGCAACCGATTTGAGATGAGTAGCAGTCTTGAGTCATTCTTAGAACCGTCTTCGAGGGAAGGCATGGTTGGCGAAATAGGATTTAAATGTTGAATAAGATTAAATCGAGAACGGTGAGTTTCTTAGAAAGAAACCTGTTGAAAAGTAAAAAATAGGAAAGGAACTAAAGAAAGAAATAGAGGGGTAATATATAAAGACAATCAAGTCAACACCAAATGAGAACGACGATTGACAGCTTTACCGCAACCCACAGATAACCAACAATCAGACAGTTGGCCGGTAAAACCAAACACTGCTAAAATGACAATAAATGTCGGCCCTACAACAAAGGCGGGGAGCTTTTTGTGAAGTACAAGAAGGCGGTCCGGTGGGGAGAAAACGGGCAAAGAGTGACCTCAGAGCTCAGCAATCGACCAGACGCGCGGACCAAGTGACCCAAAGTTTCCAGTCGGGTAATAAGGACGAGCTGGAGTGATCGTAGTATGAATCGCGCACGCTCTTCACTAGCAAGTTCATCGACTAAGAAGAATATACAAAGACAGTTGGTTACTTTGACAATAGCGGATAGTAGCAGTTTGATTTGAATTCAAGTTCTGATGATATATGAAGAAGGGGTTCCCCATGGAAAGGAACCAGGTAAGATAGTTAGGTAGTAAGTTATGTTGTAATGGAAGGAGAAATTTAGTTTTGCACGGATAAAGAATGATGAATGAGGTCACGGGCCCGCAAAGTTAACCACTCACCGATTGCGGATGATGCCAACACTCCCATGGAAGATGATGGGGCCCCTCAGCTGTTTAAATATGACCATAATCAACAGGGAAATTCACTTAATGCCTTTTCCTGCTTGGAATATTTAGGCGCGCCGAGCCCACTGGCTGGTCGGATGACGATTTGGCAATGTAATGCCAACCCCTCAGTCTAGTGTCAAGTCATGTATGGTACTCCAACTCTTTTTGCTTTTTTCATTTTACTATTTGTCTTTATTTTTCTTACTTTACTTTTTCTATTCGGTTTTAATTTTTTTTCCCCCTAATTTACTAGCCTTTTCTCTCACGGTAGCGTTATATAGCCCACACCTCCATGTACACTTCTGACAGGTCCAGACTGGGCCAAAAGTGTTCATTTACGTTGCAACTTTCCTGCCAAACAAAATCCAGACCTTTTCTGATAGTACTAGGATTGATGTATGAAAGACAGTCTAGGCAAACCTGGCATGCCCCCCCGGCGCTTTTCTGTAAATTTCCCTGCGGTGCAGTGGTCGTCCATGCTTTCTACTTTCAGTAATCCGAGGCCACGCGTCATGAATCCCAGGCACTCACAGTTGTATGAAATGTCATTAGATAGACATGATTCTAGTGTCACACAGAGCTATAATGAAGGGGGTTTATAGCGCAGACTTCCCGGTTTCCAGCCTCCACTTTCCCGACTCCGTGTCATGGACTGTCTTACCCTCGGCTTCTAACTTCATTAGCACCTGCAGCACCCCGTGCGACGCTGGCAGATGGAGGCTTTCCGGGACGTTATGGTAGATCACTTTCACTATCTCAAGGGGGGTCCAAGAGGCTCTCCGCTCCGGTGATGGTTCATCATCAGGGACATCAAGTTTTCCATAACGTAAAACGCGTATCACCTCATCTTCTCGCTGTTGTCGATGCTTGATATATTCAGTGATTTTTGTCGTTGCATTCTCAATTACTGCTCCATGGCCAGGGTACCCGCGTCCCAACACTCGGTCTTGCATTCGCTGTAGACTGGACAGATACACTGTCAAATCTTCAAATACCGCAGTCCCATGTCCCAGAACGTCTAGTAGGTTTTAGTTCAGTTATGCACGGCGATATCACAAGATGGTAGGAGCTGGGGGAAAGGGAGTACCTACTATCACCAGTAAAAATCGCGTCTTCTTCCTCTAGCACAAATATCATATGATCAACTGTATGCCCCGGCGTATGGAACGCTTTCAATGTGGCTCCTTCTACGCTGAAGACCTGTCCATCTTCAATACCACTCTGACCCTCGTTTGGTTGATTCTTGTAGATAGTGACTTGAGGACAAAGCTTGCGAAGGTCAGGGATGCCATTGACGTGATCATGGTGCCAGTGCGTCAAGAGTGCTTTATGCACGGTGGCATTCTCTTCCGACAGGATTGTCTTCAGATGAGAGGCCCAGGAAGGCTTGCCTTCACCAGTGTCAATTAGAATCCGTTGAGGTCCACGACCTATCAGATATGTATTTGTTCCTGAACGATGTTGTTAGGCCAAAAGCTGCGAATCCCATTGGATGAAGGTGAAGGGACTCACCCTGCAATGTAAACTATATACAGCCTCAAATCAACGTGGGTTCTTATTTCATCGAGCTTAACAGAATGTGCATCAAGTCCCGGTAGTCCAAGGGCACTTTTGATTCGCAGCCACCAGAATAGGGGAATATCAAAATACATGGTCCGAGCCTACCTTGCCGGGATTACCACCAAGTATCCGCACCACTGAAGCACTGAGTCTCTCCACTTCCGGCAGAGGAACGAGCTGAGTCGCCATAGTTGGGTACGAACGTTCTCCGGGTCAAATCAAATTGAAACGGAGAGTCCGGGGCCTTGTCTTTCAGCTATCCCTGGTCTAGATTCGTCGACAAACGCGGGGCGAAAAATGTTGGGCAGGGGAGAGAAATATTGATCGGGAGTAATAGGTAACAGCGGATCGACGGAGCGTCCAAAACCACGAAAGGAAAAAAATGGCACCGTTCTTCCAAATTGTGGACTTGGCTACACCACAGTCGACGCTAGATAGAGTAGTATCGTCCAACAGCACAACTGTACGTCCAACGTCACTCAGAATTAGCCGAGCGCTTTTTATTCAACCTTAGTTGCTCAAGCGGGGTGAATCGGAAATAGTCTAGATGAGATCTTCCTGTTAGGTGAAAGAATATGGTTTCGAATTCACGCAATGTCAACTGACCACGACTGACTGATGAGGAAACAAAGACAATCTCACATCCGTACGGAGTACTTCGTATCTTATTGATATAGTAGAAATTACATCCCGAGAGCGGGGCTTAGGTTTGAGCCTCGGCTGAGCACGCGATCTTATGTCAGCTATGTCGAAATTTAGCAATGAGAACTACTTGACTATTCATCATTACGTTAATCTACAGCTCATCAGGCTATAGAAAGTAATGTTCAGGCAGAATGGAAGGAGAGAATATAAATTTGAACAAAAAGGAAATATGGTATGATTGCTGTCCCTAACATACAGTAGATGATATAGGAAAAAAAGACACAAGACTATATCCCATATAGTCCACCCAAACTCAAAAGGGTCCAACAAATGTAGAGATAACAAAGTAAACAGGTCGTTAAATTTTGAACTCGACTCCGCAATATCCCATCGTAGAAGTACTATTAGCAGCCGCTATCATCCCCAGAGCTGCCACTCATTCCCAACGTGCCAAGCCGCATGGCAAGCACTAAGCTGATATGTTTCTCCTTGAGGATTAGAAACATATACAGTATAATTTACAAACGGACCAATGTTGACCCCAGCGCTAAACCCACGTTGCGGCAAATTTAGTTGCCAGCCTTGCGGGCCATGGTGTTGAGGGCAGAACCGTCCTTGAACCACTCGATCTGGGACTCGTTGAAGGTGTGGTTGAGCTTGACGTCGAAGGTCTTGCCATCCTTGGGGTGGACACGGAGAGTCATGGGCTTGCCGACCTCAAGCTCGGTGCAAAGCAAGTCAACCTTGTCATCGGGCTTGATCTTGTCATAGTCGGCAGGCTCAGCGAAGGTCAGAGGAAGCATACCCTGCTTCTTCAGGTTGGTCTCGTGGATACGGGCGAAGCTGCGAGTGATGATAGCAAGACCACCAAGGTGTCTCGGCTCCAGAGCAGCGTGCTCACGAGAGCTACCCTCACCGTAGTTCCAGTCACCAATGACAACCCACTTGACGCCACGAGCCTTGTAGTCACGGGCAGTGGCAGGGACAGCATCGTATTCACCAGTGAAAGCGTTCTTGATCTTGTTAGCCTCACCGTTCTCGGCGTTGACGGCACCAATGAGCATGTTGTTGGAGATGTTGTCAAGATGGCCACGGTACTTCAACCATGGGCCAGCCATGGAGATGTGGTCAGTGGTGGTCTTGCCCTGGCACTTGATGAGGATAGGAATGTCAGTGGCATCCTTGCCATCCCAGGCCTGGAATCCCTGGAGGACCTGGAGACGGTCACTGGTAGGGGAGACAGCGACGTTGACAGTGGAGCGGTCCGCAGGAGGAGCTTGATAGGTGTTACGACCGGGGTCGTAGCCCTTAGCGGGAAGACCCTCACCGGTGGGGGCCTTGAGCTTGAACTCCTTGCCATCCTTGTCCTTCAGGGTATCGGTGAGAGGGTTGAACTTGAGGGTACCGGCGACAGTCATGGCAACAACAAGGTCGGGGGAGGTGACGAAGGAGTGAGTGGCGGGGTTGGCGTCGTTACGGCCAGTGAAGTTACGGTTGTAGGAGGAGATGATAGAGTTGGCCTCGCCCTTCTTAACATCCTTACGGTCCCACTGTCCAATGCAAGGACCGCAAGCGTTGGCAAGGATGACACCACCGTACTCCTCGAGGGTCTGGAGCTGACCATCACGCTCGATAGTGGCGCGAATCTGCTCAGAACCGGGGGTAATGGTGAAGAGAGACTTGGACTTCAGGCCATGATCAAGGGCATCCCGGGCGATGGAGGCGGCACGGGACATATCCTCATAGGAGGAGTTGGTGCAAGAACCGATGAGACCGACCTTGAGCTCTTCAGGCCACTTGTTGGCCTCGACAGCCTCCTTGAACTTGGAGATGGGGGTAGCAAGATCGGGAGTGAAGGGACCGTTGATGTGAGGCTCCAGCTCAGACAGGTTGATCTCAATCAGCTGGTCATACTCGGCACCCTCATCTTCGCGAAGCTCCTTGGCGTAGGACTTGGCGAAGTCGCCAATGTGCTGACGCTTAGTGGCCTTCAGGTAGTCGTACATGCGGTCATTGTAGGGGAAAAGAGAGGTGGTAGCACCAATTTCAGCACCCATGTTACAGATGGTACCCATACCGGTGCAAGAAAGAGAGTTGACACCAGGTCCGTGGTACTCAACAATGGCACCAGTACCACCCTTGACAGTGAGGAGGCCAGCGACCTTAAGGATGATATCTACACACAATCAATTAGCTTTCTTCCGTTTCATCTACAAGGAGATCACCGTGTAACTTACCCTTGGGAGTGGTCCATCCGGACAGCTCACCGGTGAGCTTAACACCAATGACCTTAGGAGCCTTAAGTTCCCAGGGAAGACCAGCCATCACATCGACGGCATCAGCACCACCAACACCAATGGCAGCCATACCAAGACCACCACCGTTAGGAGTGTGAGAGTCGGTACCGATCATCAGACCACCGGGGAAAGCGTAGTTCTCCAGAACGATCTGGTGAATAATACCGGAGCCAGGCTTCCAGAAACCAATGTTATACTTGGCGGTAGCGGAGGCAAGGAAGTCGTAGACCTCCTTGTTGATCTCGTTGGCACGAGCCAAATCCTTCTCACCTCCAACCTGAGCCTCAATCAAGTGGTCACAGTGGACGGTGGTAGGGGTAGCGACGGAAGCCATGCCTGCCGACATGAACTGAAGGATAGCCATCTGGGCGGTGGCATCCTGGCAAGCGACACGGTCGGGGCGCAGCTTCAAGTAGGAGGTACCACGCTCGATATCCTGCTCATGGGGGTTGTCAAGGTGAGAGTAGAGGATCTTCTCGGCGTACGTAAGAGGACGGCTCAGACGCTTGCGAACGATTTCCAAGTTCTCAGACATCTTCCTAGAAAATTGGCACAAATGTTAGCCACCGCGTCAATGGACCGTGATGGCGCATTAACAAAACAGGAGCTCCTGCTATGAAAGTAAAAGGTGCTGCCATACTTGTAGTTGATGTAGTTGCCCTGCGAAACATCGTCAGCAAACTCCGATTTCCATATAGGGTAATGGCCCGCTCTCCCGGTACAGCCGAGAGTACAGTCTTGTTCATTGCTTACCTTTTCAACATTGGACATCTCGACCTTCTTGTCGAGAGGGTGTTCGCTGGCAGTGGCCAGACCCCGGGCCCCGAGAAACTGTGAAATATGTTAGGTTCCATTTCGATACCCGTGCCATAAAGGGCCCAACTTCTCGCAGAAGCGAGAACAATAGTCAAGGTGTTCTTACAAGACGGGACTTGGGGGCCTGCGAAAGAGATCTATGTTAGTCCAGGATGCTTCAAAGAGTAAACCAGCCGGAAAACCTAGCATCGAATTGGAGACGATGCAGGCGCCGCGATGCTGGACAAAGCCATATATCCAGGACGACTTACCAGCGCACCCATGCGCGCGAGCCTTGTGGAGATCATTTTGAAAGCTCTCTATGCGAGGTGAGCAAGGCCGCAACACATCCAAAAAAGAGCTAACTTCAACAGTTGGAAGTAGCAAAGATGGAGTGGAGAGTAAAGAGAGAGAAGAAAGAGGTCAGAAGAAAAGGGAAAATGGAGCAGATAAAAAGGAAGCTTTGGTGTTTTTTAGAGTGGGAAAGAATTCTTGCTTTACAGTAGCCATTACTGAACCGGCGAACAGGACCCGTAACCGCTCGTGACAATACAGGAGCCTTACGCATTCGGGACACCTGGGACCCAAACTAAGCATGCGACCGGACACAAGGAAGTGGCTGGGCAACCCGCGATTGCCCCCCCCCTTTCTTTACCCTGTCGAGAACTTCGAAATTCGGCTTACCTACACGCATTCCTTTTTCAGGCCCCATATTGTCAATAATCGGAGACCTAAGGTTTCTCATTGATTTGAATAGCGCTCTCTCTCAGTGGTCCCGACAAATTTCCATGTGGCCTTTTGATACTTAGAATAGCTCTACCTCCATACCTTAACGTTTACCCGTGTCCGGTTACATGGTAATAATACAAGCGCAGTCAGTGGACCAACGCATGTGAGCGGAGATCGTGATGGACCAATCATGCATGACTGATTACATCAAACTTGAGCTATAGTACTCGGAGTACATCATAGATGCAGCTTTTGACATTTCGAGACATCCAACGCTGTCGGCAGCTTCTACAGGGGGTAGCGTAATGTGGCAAAGTGCGAAAATTTCTAAGATCATTCATTGCAAGGTCAAGGCGATACTGCTCGCTGAATGAGAAGATCCTCGTTACTGGAGCAACTTGATTGGGTCTCTGCCGTCTTATTTCTCCTAAAACGCAACTGGGCGATGCTGTTCCGGAGCAATGTGCCGAAAAAATGGAAACGTCATAAAATACAACCTGCGAAAGATGGATGTAACAGCGACCCCAGCCTGCTGACAGAGCCGAGCCAGAGCCGAGGCCTACCGATGGTCATCCATCCCGCGGACCGGTGCCAAGCCAACGGTCTTTCGGCCAATGAGGAGCGACATGTTTCACCAAATTCTTTTCGCGCACACAATGGCGGAAATTTTGAGATAGTTGGCCCGCTCTCGCAACAACTAAAGCTTTAGCATCGTTCCGTATATCGGTGATAATACTTTGCGACTCCAAAAAAAAAAAAAAAAAAGAAGTACCTGCAGACTGGTTCTGGTAGATAGGTATCCAAAATGGGCGCTTTGAGAAGAATTAAAACAAAGCGCAGGACAAGGTACTACAACCCTCAGCTATTGTCTACATCTTAGGGTTTTACAAAAAGCATTCTGACTCGAGTGATATCTACAGGGATTACGATCAGGTTCGAGCTGATATCGAATCCCCCAAACACCTTGCGCAGTACAAAGCAACCAAGGACCCCGAGGATCTACCAGGGCTTGGAAAGCATTATTGCGTTGAGTGCTCAAAATGGTTTGAGAGTGAACATAACCTGGTTGCCCACACAAAGGGTAAAAACCATAAACGAAGGTCAGTAATAGACTCGCGCGATTGTGGCGCAAGCATTTGCACGCAACCTGAAGCTGACTCGAGCACATCTTGTGTATATAGAATTCGACTCCTACGCGAAGAACCTCATACACAGAAGGTCGCTGAAGCCGCTGTGGGTTTAGGCACTGATAAAGGCCTGCGTTCAGGAGAAACTGTTGTCGACATGGAGGAATAAGTTTCTACGACTACTACGCGATTTATGAGCATCCGCGACTATTGGATATACATCTCCAATATGGAGGGGGATATGTCTCTTGGACAGACTGGACGAGAAGCGACAGAAAAAAATTTCATCCTTAGAAGGTTGATGTTGTCTTTAAGACAATGCTATTGGTTGCATAGCTCAAGTCCTTTCAGCCAATCAGAAATCGGCAGGGTCACATGAAACACGTGAAACCACATGCGCCGAAAACCGCCAGAGTTTGGCGCCCGATTTACCGAGTACGCTGATTCCGTCTTGCGGTGACCCGACTGGAATCGCCGTTTCTCGGATATTCGTATATTGAGCTCCACTCTAATCGGCCACTATTTAGTTAGGGCGAGTATTACTTACAAGTCGCAATACATGGACATAACTTAATTTTTGTAGACAATCTACTCCGGAGTATATCCCTATTTATGAAACTTGTGCATGTGTCTGATTCCATGGGTTGTTGAGATACCTCATGAGCCACTCGTAACTTGCCCACTATTACGTACATTGCTTTGATTAGCTGTGGCCCTGATCTGTATACGTGGAAAAACATACCTGAACAGCATTTACTATGAATGCTCTTACACTGCATATTCCTAACCCACGATAGAAGGCCTTCAGCCCTTCTGTCCGATATGTCTCCCTAGCGAGCTGAAAGCTGTTCAGTGTCCGTCTATCATTTCGAGACTGCACCAGAGGCTGGTCTTCAGGGCGTGATGGGAGCCCCTGCGCCTGCAATCTGGTCTTGATCATGTCCAACGGATAAACTGAAGCCCACGTAGCTACTCCAGCAACACCACCGCACAGGAGTACTTTCATTGCCGCCTGCTGTGCATCGTCGTCCTTAGAGGCCATCAGACGTTTACAATACTCATAAGTCCAAAAACTGTGTCGATATAAGTAAATGGTGCGCTCAAAGTAGAACATGCGGGGGGAGATCCGGGGAAACATTGTGCGTACTAAAATCCATAGCCAATAGAGTCTCGAGCACAGGTTATGGCTCCTCCGAAATAAAGCCCCCTCCAGCCAAGGGTCCTGACAATATCTCTGGTCATGGTCCAAGAAGACACTCCCGGGCGTGTGTCAAGTTGCGTTCGGCATTTGATAAACTCAGTCGGAGACGACACAGTCCAGCTGGCCACTCCGCCTGCAGCGCCAGCAAGCCATAATTTATACAGTGGAATTCCTTGAGGGTCTGTGGGATCTATCACAGAACTGTCCAAGAGCATCAATGACCGGTTATAGGCAACAAAAAGTATAGCATTTAGAGCCCCATATCCAAGAATTGGAGCCGCGGCACCTAATATACAGGTAAGTTAATGTGTCTAGTCTGGAAACTTCACAGTGGCTGCCAAACCTCGCACGAGGGAGCTGGTGCTCTCAAAGCGGCTCAAGTGTTGGTGCGGAAATATTGCAGCTACATCTGTAGCATGACTTGCTTGTAATCGAACTTTAATAAGGTCCAGAGGATTTCCGATGATGATCCCGATGGCCCCACTAAGGTAGCCAGCCCAGAAGTCTGAGGACATGAGATCAAAATTCGACCTCTGAACAGTAGTCGGTAGTCTAAGGTTACTTCATTGCTTTCATCTGATGTTAGTGCTCGTCAGGGTGGCGGGGTTCCATAGTAGCTCTGGTATCAGCACGTGACAGCGTGATACTTTGGTGTTTAGGCAATCACAGGGAAACGCGCCAAGAGGTGGCAACGCGTTGTTCATGACTCTAATGGAAGTGGCATTGACTGCCAGACATCAGCCCACCTATTAGTGCGTGTATTAAAAAGATCTGGATAGCACCGCTACCTTTAATGTAAGAGGAATATTTGTTTAGTTTCCTGATGCTATGAATCGCTAACTTCTCAAAGGTATCGACCACGACCGAGTGCAAGGGAAGATGGCGGAAACACCCCGTTATCCAAAACCCTCCAGACCCCGTCTTCGAAGTCCATTGACCGCCTATCGAAACCATTCAAATGCCCTGGATCTGCTACACCCACCCGGACGTCCGATAAACCTGCGAGGAAACGAAGAAAGGTGAACTATGCGGGGGCTGACGAAACTGTGGACGATAATAGTGAAAAGCCCTATACCAACGAGGAACGTTTAGCACTCGCCACCAGAGATGTGAATAGATTCCCTGTGTTCAAACCTAAAGATAAAGAGACAACCTTTAAACAACGATTCAAGATACCTCTAATCAACAAGGCGGTTGACAGCTACAATGGCGCTAGACCAGCGCCAACTTTGGGGATGCGACAAGGTGCTACATTTGTTGTGAAGCCTCTACATGATCCTAGCGGAGAATTTGCGATAGTGCTGTATGATCCAACTGTCGATGATGTCGATGAAAACACTGAAATGAAGTCGCCAGAAGATGGAAAGCCGGAAGAACAACAGCCCAAGTTGGACGCTCCCCTTGTGCACAAAAGCTTAGCAGACATACTTGGTCTCAAGAAAAAGGTTGAAACTGGTCCAAAAGTTCCAGTCGTGATAGATCCAAGGCTGGCAAAGGTTCTACGACCACATCAAATTGAAGGTGTAAAGGTAACATTACGGTTCCAGTCAATGCTCTCCTGCGACATTAGACTAACGATATCTGTCCCCTAGTTTTTATACCGCTGCACAACCGGCATGGTCGATAAGAATGCACACGGATGTATAATGGCGGATGGAATGGGACTAGGGAAAACGGTATGGCCAACAGACCCTTCAGAGCAGTAGGTCCGACTGACGGCGATAGCTTCAATGCATCTCATTGATGTGGACATTACTCAAGCAGTCTCCTGAGGCAGGCAAGACCCTTATCCAGAAGTGTATCATTGCTTGTCCCTCAAGTTTGGTTGGCAACTGGGCCAATGAGCTTGGTAGGTAGTGCGTTCTGAAGGTTTGAATGCCTGCTAACAATCACAGTAAAATGGCTAGGTAAAGATGCCATCACGCCTTTTGCGGTGGATGGTAAAGCTTCGAAGACAGAACTCACATCCCAGATCAAGCAATGGGCTATTGCTTCCGGTCGCGCCGTTGTAAGACCTGTGCTCATTGTGTCCTACGAAACGCTCAGGATGTATGTTGAGGCATTAAAGGATAGTCCCATAGGGCTACTTCTTTGCGATGAAGGTCATCGGCTCAAAAATAAGGATAGTTTAACATGGACTGCACTCAACAGTCTAAATGTGCAACGTCGTGTTATCTTGTCAGGAACCCCTATTCAAAATGATCTTTCGGAATATTTCGCCCTGCTCAACTTTGCCAACCCAGATTTATTAGGATCGCAGAATGAATTTCGGAAAAAGTTTGAATTACCTATTCTCAGAGGAAGGGATGCTGCAGGGTCGGAAGAAGACAAAAAGAAAGGCGATGAATGTCTAGCTGAGCTCTCAACCATCGTCAACAAATTCATTATCCGCCGAACAAATGATATATTGACGAAGTACTTGCCAGTCAAGTATGAGCATGTTGTCTTTTGCAATTTATCTCAGTTCCAACTCGACCTCTATAACCACTTCATTCAGAGTCCAGAGATTAGGAGCTTGCTCAAGGGCAAAGGAAGCCAACCGCTTAAGGCAATTGGCCTTTTGAAAAAGCTCTGCAACCATCCTGATCTGCTAAACCTCTCCACCGACCTTCCCGGGTGCGAATTTGCATTCCCAGAAGATTATGTGCCACCTGAGGCAAGAGGGCGTGACCGCGATATCAAGTCTTGGTATTCCGGGAAAATGATGGTTTTGGATCGAATGCTAGCACGCATACGCCAAGACACTAATGATAAAATTGTTCTCATCAGTAACTACACTCAGACACTTGACCTGTTCGAAAAGCTATGCAGATCGAGGGGGTATGGCTCATTGAGACTGGACGGTACCATGAATGTGAATAAGCGGCAAAAGCTCGTCGACAAATTTAACAACCCAGACGGGGAAGAGTTTGTATTTCTCCTCAGCAGCAAGGCCGGTGGATGTGGCCTCAATTTAATAGGTGCCAATCGCCTCGTGCTGTTTGACCCAGATTGGAACCCAGCTGCTGATCAACAAGCATTGGCGCGAGTTTGGCGTGATGGTCAAAAGAAAGACTGTTTCGTGTACAGGTTCATCGCGACTGGCTCAATTGAGGAAAAGATCTTTCAACGACAGTCTCATAAGCAATCGCTGTCCTCATGCGTTGTGGATTCAGCGGAGGATGTTGAGCGGCATTTTTCTTTGGAGTCTCTCCGCGAACTATTCCAATTCAAACCGGAAACTCGAAGTGACACACATGACACCTTCAAATGCAAGAGATGTAGACCGGATGGAACGCAATTCATCAAGGCGCAGGCTATGCTGTATGGCGATACCAGCACCTGGAACCACTTTGTTAATGATGGAGAGAGGGGTGCCCTCAGCAAGATCCAGGACCTGCTGATGCGCCAAGAGACCGGGGAGAGAGACGTGTCTGCGGTATTCCAGTACATAAGTCACTGACCTATAATTCTTACAAGCATCATGTTCTACACCGTCTGTATGTTCAAAGCAGTTGGTATGACAATCATAAGTTGTGACAATTTTGGGCTGTTAGTGCAGCTAGTTAAGTATATTATGGATGTATTCATCCTTTTGCTATCATAGGCTACATTAGGTCTATGGTCATGGATTTTGAGCGCGTATTATATTGGAGTAAATAGGGTCAATTTTATACGGTTAATTAAGATTATCAAGTTAATCTGGAGCTCATATTTTCAGATAACAGTGTCACTATATAATGTCTACTAGTGTCATATCGTTCGATGGTGGTCAGACAATGATCCATGAGACTGGTTACAACATGACTTGATTCGTTTAAGGAGCACAGTAGCCACTTCATTATAGCGGTAAATGTGATGAATGTCTCTTCGTACCAGTACTACCGGTACGTTGAGCTACGCAGATCACTTACCTATCCAAGTCTCCATCCCGTTCCTGTGCAGGTTGCTTTTTTCTCCAATAGCCCAAAGCGGAAGAAATCCTATCCACATCCTGTTTTGCTAGTATTGTGCAGCCAATGAGTGCTCACTGTTCTCAATACGATGTCCCTGCTCGGTTCAAGTCATATGAGCGCTGGTCACATTAACGACTTCGGTCGTCGTGAATCCAGTGAGCAGCTTTCCGGGCTTCCGCGGCTGATGATTCGAACCACAGCTCGCTCAACGAGACTATGATTGGCGAAGTCTGACGTAGGGATCAAGACTAAGCTGACCGTTTGCTTTTGCCTGGAATACGAGGCTGTCCAGAAGTATTCATAGGTGGAACGGACCGAATCCTGTTCTTCCAGCAGAAGACACTATGCATCCATATTCATGACCATTCCCAAGAGCCACGGGACAACACCTGACAAAATGAAAACGTGGACATGTCATTCTATATTGCTATTGAGTTCATTCTGCGACTGTCTTTCAAATAGCTACCCGTCTGTACTTCTTCTACATTGTAGCTTTGCTGCTGGTCCTGCTGAGGAGAGTACGATACAAGAGATGGATCTCTACATCCGAATCATCCTTGAAGTTGCTTACGGACAAATAGAGAAGTAATTCGTGTTGGATACTGTTGGGCCGGACTCTGGCTTATTGCTGCGCAGGTCCTAATTTACTTATGCATGTAGCACAAGCATCAGACCTGTCTTATGCCTGTTGCAAGGAGTAAATCTTCTTCACATATCTCTGTTCTTGGGCTATCACCTACCAAATTGGAACTAACCACATGTCTCCATAAGCAATAGGAGGGCTTAGATTATAGTGTCCTCTGTGTATGATGTTAGAAGAAGCTGTATATCCTATGCAAAGCATGCACTTGATCACCAAGATAGTGGATCGCTCAGGTCTCATTCTTCTTATAGACTGATCAGGTCTCTGGTGCTCATATGCTATCGCCACAATAACCTTTTCGACGATGGATATTAACAGCCCGACGACCAAACAGAAAACATTATGGAACAGAATGCAAGCTAGTGACTCCCCAGAGCCACTTTTCGACAAATCAAAAGTACGTGCTTACGTGGGGCAATATATGTTCCAATGAAGATCTAAGCAAGGGATAGATGCTAGGAGGCAAATGCATTCCTAGCTCTGGTCCGTATTTCAGATGCGCCACGAATACATGTCAGATTGCCAAGTCCCAGGCCAGCTGATAATATCACATTCCAGACTCAATTTGTGATTCAAAATGACTAGCCCCTGACCATTTTGTCTGACTTGAAGACCATGTTTGCAGGGAAGTGGCGTATATAAAATCCTTTCGTATCCGACATGTACATCGAACCCTAGAGACATATTCAAAGACAAGACATTGATGTCTTCGCCATGCGCTCTCTCGTCTTCGCAGCAGTTTCATGTCTCCCTGCCATCATTGCAGCGGCAGATCCTCCCGATCTCGGTTTTGACAAACTCTGGTCCTTGGAAAACAATATCTGGACGAACTTCCTTTACCCAGCTAATCTAAAGCAAATCAACGCAACGGATAACTCCGTGTTCACCGAAGATGTACGCTCCAAACCCCAGTCTAAATCTCCCTACATATGCATAGATGCTAACAGAAACAAGGTCCAAGGACGTGTCGATATTACACGTACCTTTCCCGGCCGAGAACTGAACAACGAATACATCTTCGGCCTTTTCTCACAGCCAGACTCCCTCAGTTTGACTGGTGTCGCGATTAACTACACCATCACACAGTTCGTCGCCAACCAGAACATGGCCTCGGCTACGACAGTGATCACTTTCAACTCGACTTCGTTTGGTGTTCTTCTCCCGCTTACTGTTGACTCGTGGATGGCCTTCAATGAAGATGGCAAGGTCACCCAATACGATGCTACTTTCCGTTGGTTCGACTGGTTCGTTAAGACCCTGTTCGAGGCTGCGGCGGTGAAGTTCAATACGACGGATCCAGCTGTTGTCAAGAGCACATTGACTGAGATGCTGGCGAAAGCTATCTGCGAGACGAGTGACAAGTACTGCACGGGTGATAATCAGCAATATGACAGTCAAGAACAATGCATGCAAGTCTTGACAAAGGAGAAGAGGTTCGGGGACCCGTATGAGTTGGGAAGGGATACCTTGCTTTGCCGGGAGGTACACAAGCATATGGTGCAGTATCGACCAACAGAGCATTGCCCACATATTGGACCGAGTGGAGGAGATATGTGTGTGGATGACAAGTCTTACGTACAGACAGTTCTGGAATCATACTTCCCCCAGTCGTGGATTGCCAATGGTTATGGGGATGATAACATCTGGGTGAAGAAGTAAAGTCAGGTAGTTGACGAAGGATATGTATGGTAGCTAGTTTAATTATTAATATGTAGCGATCCAATTCGTGTTTTATTTTTATTTTCCCCGACAGTTCAAAGTTCAGCTCAACTCATGAGTATGTAATTGTACACTCAACATACATCGCTTACTAATTTTATAGGACAGAGATGTCGGCTCCAAAGCCAGTCTTTCTGAGTTTATACTCGAAACCAAGTACACGACTTTCGATTCTCTATGGCCTATTTAGCACTTCCTCACCAGAGTTACTATAAAAGTAGCATTTGGATAGCCTTTTCGATTCACTCCCATCACGAGGCAAGATTCAACAGGGACGAATGAATGAAGTCCAGAGCGAGTACTCGAGGATCGAATTAGCTTCACACACAGGGAATTAACTAGGCCACACACGATGCGAGAGTTTTCAATTCCAAGCAAAGGTTATATAAATGCCGCAACGGAACGAACAGGTACACAGAAAATGCCACAAACTTGCGTGGTTTATTGTACGCCAAGTACTGTAATTACCGCCGGTCGGTAAGATTGAAATTAATACTACCTTGAGGATTATGGATTCGGCGATTGCGATTGCGATTGCGACAGATCCGCCGCAACTGGTGCTATTTCATAACCCTTTGTCAATTACCTTGCTTCATTAAATAATCTCTGCGAAGGACATATTCCTCTTCATCTACTAGTTGGAAAAATCTATTTACTTTCGACCAGATCTCCGTCCATCGCAAAAGAGGCAAGCAATTCCTCGGAATATCGAGCTGTGAAGTCATCATTTACTTCCGAACCTTTTTCCTCCGAACCCGGCGGTCCTCACGAGACAGCAGTTCCGCAGCAGCTTCACCACGATTACGATGGTTCCTTGAATGAAAGCAAAGTTCTCACGTTCTCTCGGTCACTGCGATATTTATTTTACCATCATGCTGCCCAGGGCAGCCCGACCGCCGTGCCTCCGTGTCCCCGGACGCTTCGCACATCGCGGTCCCGCAGTCCCGCGCTCCACGCCGCGGATAACTACACGGCATAGCATCCAGTTCAGAGTATTCTCGACGGGCAAAGGTCTATTGAACAAAAATGCTACTTCAGAACTTTCCTCACCACCAAAGACACCCAGTTCCGCTTCTCCACTCCCCCCTCAATCACCGGACCAGAAAACGAAGAATGCCCAGAATGCCGCGGGCAAGCCGAAGAGAGATCTTCTCAGCGAGACTACGGTGGGAAAGAAGGAACAAAGGAAGGCAGATTGGGCGATCATGAAAGAAATGGCCAAATACCTGTGGCCCAAGGTAAGGCCTGGAGCGGCCGTCGTGGGTTGGAGAACGTTTGGCGTTAATTGTGGTACTATAGGATGATTGGGGCACGAAGCTGCGCGTTGGAACCGCCCTGTCGTTACTGGTTGGAGCAAAGGTAAGTGATAATTCTGCAGTCATCCTAGTTTCTGTAATTGGAGCTTACATTGTGGGGTTTAGATTCTCAACGTGAATGTGCCATTCTACTTCAAGAGCATTGTCGACTCGATGAATGTGGACTTCGCCGCAGTCGGCGGAACGGCCTATACTGTTGCGGGCTCTATGATCATAGCTTGTAAGCGAAGCATGCACATACAACGCAGTACCCCTGTCTAACTGCAGTAATCCAGATGGTGTTACCAGGATTGGCGCTACACTTTTCCAAGAACTTCGAAACGCCGTGTTTGCTAGTGTTGCCCAGAAGGCAATCCGCAGAGTTGCACGGAATGTATTCGAGCATCTCTTACGACTAGATCTCAATTTCCACCTTAGCAGACAAACTGGTGGCTTGACTCGTGCAATTGATCGCGGAACGAAAGGCATCAGCTTCCTACTGACATCGATGGTCTTCCACGTCGTTCCTACTGCTCTGGAGATTTCTCTTGTGTGCGGAATCTTGGTACAGTACAAACGTATACATCACAAACCTGGACTGTTGCTGACACATTGACAGACATATCAATATGGTGCACAATTTGCTGCGATCACGGCTGCGACCATGGTAGCATACAGTGCTTTCACAATAACAACTACTGCATGGAGAACCAAGTTCCGGAAACAGGCCAATGCTGCGGATAATCGCGGTGCCACAGTAGCCGTGGATTCTCTGATCAACTACGAGGCTGTCAAGTACTTTAACAATGAGAAGTTCGAGGTCGCACGGTATGATAAGGCACTTAAAGCT